TGTACGTGGTGTGTGTACACTATACGTGGTGTTTGTACACTACACGTGGTGTTTGTACACTCTACGTGGTGTTTGTACACTCTACGTGGTGTTTGTAAACTATACGTGGTGTTTGTACACTATACGTGGTGTTTGTACACTATAGCCCTGTACGTGGTGTTTGTACACTCTACGTGGTTTTTGTACACTACACGTGGTGTTTGTACACTATACGTGGTGTTTGTACACTCTACGTGGTGTTTGTACACTACACGTGGTGTTTGTACACTATAGCCCTGTACGTGGTGTTTGTACACTCTACGTGGTGTTTGTACACTCTACGTGGTGTTTGTACACTATACGTGGTGTTTGTACACTATACGTGGTGTTTGTTCACTATAGCCCTGTACGTGGTGTTTGTACACTATACGTGGTGTTTGTACACTATACGTGGTGTTTGTACACTCTACGTGGTGTTTGTACACTATACGTGGTGTTTGTACACTATACGTGGTGTTTGTACACTATACGTGGTGTTTGTACACTTTACGTGGTGTTTGTAGACTATACGTGGTGTTTGTACACTATACGTGGTGTTTGTACACTATACGTGGTGTTTGTACACTATACGTGGTGTTTGTTCACTATAGCCCTGTACGTGGTGTTTGTACACTATACGTGGTGTTTGTACACTATACGTGGTGTTTGTACACTATACGTGGTGTTTGTACACTATACGTGGTGTTTGTTCACTATAGCCCTGTACGTGGTGTTTGTACACTCTACGTGGTGTTTGTACACTATACGTGGTGTTTGTACACTATACGTGGTGTTTGTACACTATACGTGGTGTGTGTACACTATACGTGGTGTTTGTACACTAAACGTGGTGTGTGTACACTATACGTGGTGTTTGTACACTATACGTGGTGTTTGTACACTATACGTGGTGTTTGTACACTATACGTGGTGTTTGTTCACTATAGCCCTGTACGTGGTGTTTGTACACTCTACGTGGTGTTTGTACACTCTACGTGGTGTTTGTACACTATACGTGGTGTTTGTACACTATACGTGGTGTTTGTACACCATAGCCCTGTACGTGGTGTTTGTACACTATACGTGGTTTTTGTACACTATACGTGGTGTTTGTACACTATATGTGGTGTGTGTACACTATACGTGGTGTTTGTACACTATACGTGGTGTTTGTACACTATAGCCCTGTACGTGGTGTTTGTACACTATACGTGGTGTTTGTACACTATACGTGGTGTTTGTACACCATAGCCCTGTACGTGGTGTTTGTACACTATACGTGGTGTCTGTACACTATATGTGGTGTTTGTACACTATACGTGGTGTTTGTACACTTTACGTGGTGTTTGTACACTTTACGTGGTGTTTGTACACTTTACGTGGTGTTTGTACACTATACGTGGTGTTTGTACACTATACGTGGTGTTTGTACACTATACGTGGTGTTTGTACACTTTACGTGGTGTTTGTACACTATACGTGGTGTTTGTACACTATACGTGGTGTTTGTACACTATACGTGGTGTTTGTACACTATACGTGGTGTTTGTACACTATACGTGGTGTTTGTACACTATACGTGGTGTTTGTACACTATAGCCCTGTTCGGAATGGGTTTCCTCCAGCGGGGTTTTAGCTGGTTTCCTCCCATGGCTAAAAAAAAATTGACAGAAACTGGCACTGGCTGCATATGCCACTGCCGAAACGTTACTTGCCGAAACGTTACTTATTTTGGGATTATGTACACAACAGCGCCTCCTCCTGCACAAAAAAAAATTGGTAAGACGCTACTAAAATAGACTGCTAAGACTCGGCCAACCCTGGGATAAACACACGTGATAAGAAGAAGAAGAATACATATATATGCGTGACACATGGGCCTCTCTCGGTTCTCGAACCGATGTCCTCATCACCCACCACACGGCGGACACGTTGAAGGATTTCGAGGTTCAGAGGGCGGAGGCGCGAGTTGCCACCTCTCCGGATGTCACCCGGGACAGGTTGGAAAATGTGCCTTTTGTGTTCGAAAGGCAGCAATTGATTTTGTACCGAGATTCGCTCACCGCCGGTCCTGCTGTGTTGCACTCCGCTCGTCTGGCACTGCACAGTTTTGATGACAGACCCAGGCGGACCGAGAATCAAGTGTAGATTTGGTCTCTGCACTGCCACGTGTGTACAGGTATTCGCGCATTTTTATCGACCGAGCGCAAAGTGCTCTATAATTATGATTACCTAATAGTTGGGTGATCCCTTAAACGGTCTCGCCCCGCTTTGCGTTGAGGGCGGATGCTGCAGGGTCCGTGGTGATTCAAGTTCGCGTGTGCTTTGCTGAACCAGCTGAGAATGCAAGAGTACTGCAGGAGGGGCCTGAAGTCTCCTTCCCAACAGTGATCCGGGTCACTGAATTGGCAAAAGCAAAACACAATAACAGCAATCAAAATAAAATTGAAAATATTGCAAGGAATAAAAGCAATGTTATAGAGACCGGGTGGGTGATACAGCGGGTGTGTGATTGATGTATATATATTGGGTAGGTGATATAATGGGTGAGAGAGTGCGTGATAGAGCAAGTTGGGTGATATTGTGGGTTACATGGTGCGTGGGTGTTGAGTGTAAATGTGTGTGATATAGCGGGTGGGTGATAGTGTGAACAGAGAGTGTGGGTGTGGCTGGTATAGACCAAGCTGTGTGCTGCGAGGAGAGTAGGTGTTTGTGTGTTAGTGTAAGGGGGTGTTGAGAGTGTGTGTGGGTGGTGATCGAGTGGGAGAGTACATAGAGTGGGGTGGGTGTTAGTGTGGCGGAGTGCAGACAGAGTACGGATTAGTTCGTGATGAGTGGAGAGATTCTAACCAGTGGGAGAGCGAAAAGGTACACAGAGAGAGATAATGTGCGAGTGGGAGAGTACGCGAGTGGGTGGGAGAGAGGGTGGATAGGTCGGAGGGAGGGTGGGGAGAGTTGGAGAAAGTGTAGCGAGAGTGAGTGGGAGGGTGGGGAGAGGGTGTAGAGAGGGGAGGGTGTAGAGAGAGATAATGTGCGAGTGGGAGAGTAAGCGAGTGGGTGGGAGGGAGGGTGGATAGGTCGGAGGGAGGGTGGGGAGAGTTGGAGAAAGTGTAGCGAGAGAGAGTGGGAGGGTGGGGAGAGTGGGAGAGGGTGTAGAGAGAGAGGGGGGGAGAGTGGGAGAGGGTGTAGAGAGAGACGGGGGGTGAGAGTTGGGGGGGAGAGTGCGTGGGGGAGGGTGAGATGGTGGGGGAGGGTGGTGAGTGTGATAGGGTCGTGCGGCACTTGGCACCATCGCACTCATCACAACTGCAGCGCTGCAGCGCTTCGATCTTCGCCGTGAATGAGCCTCCTCGGTCATCATCATCTCACCACCTTCAATCATCACCATCATCATTAATATGTCGTAATTAATTACAATCACTAATTAGCATCACCAGTCAACTTCGACGGCGATGATTCCGCAGAATCAGGCGGCGAGCGAGTTGGGGCCGCTGAACCAACAGCGACTCTCGGACGAGAAATCGTAGAGAGAGAGAGAGGGGCGTGGGAGCCGTAAGTGGAGAGCAGAGATCAGGAGCGGCGAGGCGAATCGGAGCGTGTAGAGAGGTGAAGATCGGAGAGAAGGCAGGAGAGGGGAGAGCGGAGCTCGCAGACAGCGGAGACGAGAGGGGGTCGAGCGAAGGAAGATAGGAGAGGAAGGGGTAGAGATTCGAGAGGCGAGCGACTGAACGAGAGGAGGGGAAAGGGCTGAGAGGCAGAGGCAGAGAGGAGAGGGATCTTCACTCGGACTTGCAAGGAGCCTCGTCGGGAGAAGGTTCCGAGCGAGGTGAGTGTGGCTCTCTCTCTCCCTGTGGAGCCGCCACGCGCGCCGTTGAAGAGCCGGCAGGGAGCCGGCAGGGCGCAAGCGTTGAGTCGACAGGGAGCCACCGGAGAACCACCGGTGAGCCACCGGAGAGCCAGCAAGGGGCCACTGGGGAGCCAGCAGGGAGCCAGCAGAGCCACCCCGGGAGCGACCGACAGAGCGGAGCCTCCGGTGGAATTGTCTCGGAAGCTCCGAGGGGACTAACATCGAGTGAGCAGCCGACGGGATCCTCCGAGTGAGCAACCGAGGGGACTTCCAAGAGCCGTGGAGGGGAGCTACCAAGGAGGCTACCGGCGTGGCTAGCAGGGGGGAGGGCCGGCGATAGGAGACACCAGCTGAACTGACGAGGAGGTCGCTGAGAAACTCTACCGGGGCAGCCACCACCACCGTCGTCGTCATCCCGAGGAGAGACGACCGGGGGGGGGGGGGGACAGCCGTGGAGGGTATCACCGCGGAAGATACGGGGAGAAAGAGACACGGGGAGAGAGTGACGCGGGGGGAGAGTGACGCGGGGAGAGAGGGACACGGTGAGAGAGGGACACGGTGAGAGAGGGACACGGTGAGAGAGGGACACGGTGAGAGAGAGACACGGGGAGTGAGGGACACGGGGAGAGAGAGACACGGGGAGAGAGTGACACGGGGAGAGAGAGAGACACGGGGGGAGAGTGACGCGGGGAGAGAGACACGGGGAGAGAGAGACACGGGGAGAGAGGGACACGGTGAGAGAGTGACACGGGGAGAGAGGGACACGGGGAGAGAGAGACACGGGGAGAGAGAGAGACACGGGGAGAGAGAGAGACACGGGGAGAGAGAGACACGGGGAGAGAGGGACACGGGGAGAGAGAGAGACACGGGGAGAGGGACACGGGGAGAGAGGGACACGGGGTGAGAGGGACACGGGGAGAGAGAGACACGGGGATTGAGGGACACGGGGAGAGAGAGAGTGACACGGGGAGAGAGAGAGACACGGGGAGAGAGAGAGTGACACGGGGAGAGAGTGACGCTGGAGAGAGTGGCACGGGGAGAGAGTGACTTGCGGAGAGTGACGCGGAGAGAGGGGAACGGAAAGGGAGTGACGCGGGGAGAGAGGGTGACACGGGGAGAGGAGCTCTGGGAGAGAGACACGGGGAGAGGGGGACACGGGGAGGAGGAGGAGGGACGCGAGGAGGAGGATGGAGGCTGGAGGCGGGGTGGTGGCGCTCGGAGCCTGGGCCGCGCTCTGCTTCTTCTTGAGGCTTGTCGCGGCGCAACGAGACGGGCTCATGGTGAGCGGACATCATCATCATCAGCAGCAGCATCATCAGCAACAGCATGATCATCAGCAATAGCAGCATCATCATAAGTAACAACAGCATCACCATCGGCAACAGCATCATCAGCATCGGCAGCAGCAGCAACATTTTCATCATCAATGACAGCAGCTCTTGAGAACATTGGAACCCCACCTCATCAATAGCAGCAGAATGAGTAGCAGCAGCATCAACATCGAAAGTGTCAATCATCATCATCATCAGCAGCAGCATCATCAGCTGATGTAGCGGCTTTGCACAATGCCCTCGCTTCGCGTGACTGATTGAATGGACGAGCTAATGCGCAAACGATGCATCCATGAATGAAGCGTCTCGCTCCGCTATCGCCTTGCTTCTCGTGTAACGGAATGAATGGACGCACGAATGAATGCGTTAAATGACGCTGCCCCTCCTCGTGACGCCCCCCCCCCTCCCCCCCCCCCCCCCCCCCCGTAGTGACCTTAGATACCCACAGGGGGAGCACAGAGCTGACAAAGAAAGCGAACGAATTGATGCACCACGGTGGCTCGTAGATGTTGACTACCTCGCGTGGTATACAGGAGGTCGCCGGTTCGACCTCCCACAACACTGACGCCTGCTGCTGTGTATTTGGAGTTTGCGCGTCTCTCTCTCTCTCTCCCTGTGGTCGCGTGGATTTTTCTCCGGGTCCTCCGATTTTTTTCCATCCACGGTTAGAATCAACGTCACCACGCGTTTAGAGTCTCTGGCTGCGATAGATTTCACTATTAGCAGTCGCTTCGTTGAGCTATGATTTGTGGGCAGGTCGCTTCTGAAAAAGAGTTATACACCTCAGTGGGCCTTGCCTGGTAAAATAATAAAAAAAATAGTTGAAAAATGTGTTTAATAAATCAGTGAACAAATAATTTCATTAGGAAGTACATCCTTTTGTCTACCCATTGTGTGTGTGGGGGAAGGGGGGGTTGATTGACCATATTTCACCACGCTGGTCAGTGCGCGTTGGAAAAGGAGAGTGGTGGGGGATGGGAGCGGAGTTGCATAGGACTGGTTTAGATATTCTCTCGCCACTGATATTAGCCATGGCCGTGAATGGAACTTATGTCTGGGGGTTCGTAGTTCAATGCGCTTGAGTGATGATGATGTATACGTTACTCACCATCGGATACGATGACCCTGTTAATTGTATCAATGATGGTGGTAGTGGTTGTCATCGGTGCCGGATTAAGATAGTGCGGGGCCTGTAGCATGTTATAAAGGGGCCCTAAATAAATAAAAATATTAAAACACAAATGTATTACTTGCATAGCAAAGTCATTGTATTTTTTTATTTGATATACAGCCAGATAATACGACAAATGGCTAACCTTAAACACCAAGTCGTTCATGAAAGTTGAAGGCGGTATAGTACTATAGTAGTAGAGCAAGTGCAGAATCACTGATTCGGAATTGATATCTTGAAAGTATTTAGCGCGGGGCTCTTGAAAGTGCGGGCCCCGTAGCTACTACATATGTAGTAGCTACTACATATGTAGTAGCTACTACATATGTAGTAGTAGCTACTACATATGTAGTAGCAGCTACTACATATGTAGTAGCTGCAGCTACATATGTAGCGACTTATGCTGCTAGGATAATTCGGCACTGGTTGTGATGATGATTGTGGGGAGCGGTCGTGTTGTGGTTAGCGTGACGCTGCGCTACGAACCCGGCGATCCGAGATCGATATCCCGCTCACGGCTAACACCTAGTGACGATTATCTGAACCGGTCCTGGGCCTCCCTTAGGTCGACTCAGCCTCAAATGAGTACCCGGTGCAGTGTGTGAATATCGCCACTAGGGAGACAAAGGCGGCCGGGCGTGGTGATGGCCACCCACCCCCTCTAACAGCACTTGCCCCGATAGCCTTTGAAGACTACACGGGGGATCTTTGTGTTTGATGATGATGATGATGACCATGCTAATGATGATGATGGTCGTGGTTGTGATTCAATTGCTCGCGTGCCTGGCCGCAGGTCACCGCGAGATATTTTGTTTACGAACCAGTGAATGATCGAATGTGTGAATAAACGCTGCAGGAATTAGTAGGCGCTTACCTCTGACATCTTAACCCGCAAACCAATCATTGAGGAGCAAACGCCGGAGCGGGAATGTGTCAGACGCGAATGACCAAGTGAATGAATAATGATTAACGGTGAATTTGTGCTCTCAAATGACTTCAAGCCTAGTCCAGCCTCGTAGTATGAATGGGGAACCAAAGGAGTAAATTGACGAATGACTCAATGAATGGACGAATGGTGTTTCTTTACTGCCAGTTGATGTCTGCTTGGGAGCAGATTTGCTCAATGGCAATGCCTCGAGCTTCAGTGAGTGAATGAATGAATGCGTTACTCAATGAAATAACGAATGACAAAATTCGTAGCGCCTCGCCGTGTGCCCCCCCCCCTCCAGCATTTAAATGACGATCGACGAGCACACGACCGTGTCACAGACACGGATGAACGAAACTCGGATGAATGAGTTCACTAGATAATTCATTAATGAACGGTGTCTAACCCCTTGCCCCCCCCCCTCCCCCCCGTGTCCGAAAATATAATAAGCGGAGTGGCCCCACGCACGAGTGAACGAATGCACGCGTGAATGGAACGAAACATGACGAGTGAATTCATTATTTAACTCACGTTCCCCGTGTCATGAAAGCGAAGCGGGCGCGACTCCAGCATGGATGAACGCATGAAAGAAAACAATTAATTAATTGCCAGAGACGGGGTGTGAAAAAAAGAGTGAATGACTGAAGGAAAACGGAATACATTTCTCAATGAACGAACGGCCGTGAAGAGAAGCAGAAGGCGGAAGGACTGTCTCGGACACGATTTGACGAACGCATGAATCGAATGAATGAACGAATGAGTTTGTGAACGAATTCATCCAAATAAGCGTATGACTCTCCCCCCCCCCCCCCCCGTACAGATGTTGATCGGGGAGCAGAAGGTGGAGAGGGAGTAACTCAGGCTCGAGTGAATGAACGAACGAATGAACGAACGACTCTACCCCCCTGTGTAGATGTTGATTGGGGAGCAAAAGGCGGAGCGGGAGTGTCTCAGGCTCGAGTGAATGAACGAACGAATGAATTAATGAACGACTCTACCCCCTGTGTAGATGTTGATTGGGGAGCAAAAGGCGGAGCGGGAGTGTCTCAGGCTCGAGTGAATGAACGAACGAATGAACGAACGACTCTACCCCCCTGTGTAGATGTTGATTGGGGAGCAAAAGGCGGAGCGGGAGTGTCTCAGGCTCGAGTGAATGAACGAACGAATGAATGAATGAATGAACGACTCTACCCCCTGTGTAGATGTTGATTGGGGAGCAAAAGGCGGAGCGGGAGTGTCTCAGGCTCGAGTGAATGAACGAACGAATGAATGAATGAATGAACGACTCTACCCCCTGTGTAGATGTTGATTGGGGAGCACAAGGCGGAGCGGGAGTGTCTCAGGCTCGAGTGAATGAACGAACGAACGAATGAACGAACGACTCTACCTCCCTGTGTAGATGTTGATTGGGGAGCAAAAGGCGGAGCGGGAGTGTCTCAGGCTCGAGTGAATTAACGAACGAATGAATGAATGAATGAACGACTCTACCCCCCTGTGTAGATGTTGATTGGGGAGCGGAAGGCGGAGCGGGAGTGTCTCAGGCTCGAGTGAATGAACGAACGAATGAATGAATGAACGACTCTACCCCCCTGTGTAGATGTTGATTGGGGAGCAGAAGGCGGAGCGGGAGTGTCTCAGGCTCGAGTGAATGAACGAACATGAATGAATGAATGAACGACTCTACCCCCCTGTGTAGATGTTGATTGGGGAGCAGAAGGCGGAGCGGGAGTGTCTCAGGCTCGAGTGAATGAACGAACGAATGAATGAATGAATGAACGACTCTACCCCCCTGTGTAGATGTTGATTGGGGAGCAGAAGGCGGAGCGGGAGTGTCTCAGGCTCGAGTGAATGAACGAACGAATGAATGAATGAATGAACGACTCTACCCCCCTGTGTAGATGTTGATTGGGGAGCAGAAGGCGGAGCGGGAGTGTCTCAGGCTCGAGTGAATGAACGAACGAATGAATGAATGAATGAACGACTCTACCCCCCTGTGTAGATGTTGATTGGGGAGCAGAAGGCAGAGCGGGAGTGTCTCAGGCTCGAGTGAATGAACGAACGAATGAACGAATGAATGAACGACTCTACCCCCCTGTGTAGATGTTGATTGGGGAGCAGAAGGCGGAGCGGGAGTGTCTCAGGCTCGAGTGAATGAACGAACGAATGAATGAATGAATGAACGACTCTACCCCCCTGTGTAGATGTTGATTGGGGAGCAGAAGGCGGAGCGGGAGTGTCTCAGGCTCGAGTGAATGAACGAACGAATGAATGAATGAATGAACGACTCTACCCCCCTGTGTAGATGTTGATTGGGGAGCAGAAGGCGGAGCGGGAGTGTCTCAGGCTCGAGTGAATGAACGAACGAATGAATGAATGAATGAACGACTCTACCCCCCTGTGTAGATGTTGATTGGGGAGCAGAAGGCAGAGCGGGAGTGTCTCAGGCTCGAGTGAATGAACGAACGAATGAACGAATGAATGAACGACTCTACCCCCCTGTGTAGATGTTGATTGGGGAGCAGAAGGCGGAGCGGGAGTGTCTCAGGCTCGAGTGAATGAACGAACGAATGAATGAATGAACGACTCTACCCCCCTGTGTAGATGTTGATTGGGGAGCAGAAGGCGGAGCGGGAGTGTCTCAGGCTCGAGTGAATGAACGAACGAATGAATGAATGAATGAACGACTCTACCCCCCTGTGTAGATGTTGATTGGGGAGCAGAAGGTGGAGCGGGAGTGTCTCAGGCTCGAGTGAATGAACGAACGAATGAATGAATGAATGAACGACTCTACCCCCCTGTGTAGATGTTGATTGGGGAGCAGAAGGCGGAGCGGGAGTGTCTCAGGCTCGAGTGAATGAACGAACGAATGAATGAATGAATGAATGAACGACTCTACCCCCCTGTGTAGATGTTGATTGGGGAGCAGAAGGCGGAGCGGGAGTGTCTCAGGCTCGAGTGAATGAACGAACGAATGAATGAATGAATGAATGAACGACTCTACCCCCCTGTGTAGATGTTGATTGGGGAGCAGAAGGCGGAGCGGGAGTGTCTCAGGCTCAAGTGAATGAACGAACGAATGAATGAATGAATGAATGAACGACTCTACCCCCCTGTGTAGATGTTGATTGGGGAGCAGAAGGCGGAGCGGGAGTGTCTCAGGCTCGAGTGAATAAACGAACGAATGAATGAATGAATGAACGACTCTACCCCCTGGTTAGATGTTGATTGGGGAGCAGAAGGCGGAGCGGGAGTGTCTCAGGCTCGAGTGAATGAACGAACGAATGAATGAATGAATGAACGACTCTACCCCCATGTGTAGATGTTGATTGGGGAGCAGAAGGCGGAGCGGGAGTGTCTCAGGCTCGAGTGAATGAACGAACGAATGAATGAATGAATGAATGAACGACTCTACCCCCCTGTGTAGATGTTGATTGGGGAGCAGAAGGCAGAGCGGGAGTGTCTCAGGCTCGAGTGAATGAACGAACGAATGAACGAATGAATGAACGACTCTACCCCCCTGTGTAGATGTTGATTGGGGAGCAGACGGCGGAGCGGGAGTGTCTCAGGCTCGAGTGAATGAACGAACGAATTAATGAATGAATGAACGACTCTACCCCCCTGTGTAGATGTTGATTGGGGAGCAGAAGGCGGAGCGGGAGTGTCTCAGGCTCGAGTGAATGAACGAACGAATGAATGAATGAATGAACGACTCTACCCCCCTGTGTAGATGTTGATTGGGGAGCAGAAGGCAGAGCGGGAGTGTCTCAGGCTCGAGTGAATGAACGAACGAATGAATGAATGAATGAACGACTCTACCCCCCTGTGTAGATGTTGATTGGGGAGCAGAAGGCGGAGCGGGAGTGTCTCAGGCTCGAATGAATGAACGAACGAATGAATGAATGAATGAATGAACGACTCTACCCCCCTGTGTAGATGTTGATTGGGGAGCAGAAGGTGGAGCGGGAGTGTCTCAGGCTCGAGTGAATGAACGAACGAATGAATGAATGAATGAACGACTCTACCCCCCTGTGTAGATGTTGATTGGGGAGCAGAAGGCGGAGCGGGAGTGTCTCAGGCTCGAGTGAATAAACGAACGAATGAATGAATGAATGAACGACTCTACCCCCCTGTGTAGATGTTGATTGGGGAGCAGAAGGCGGAGCGGGAGTGTCTCAGGCTCGAGTGAATGAACGAACGAATGAATGAATGAATGAACGACTCTACCCCCCTGTGTAGATGTTGATTGGGGAGCAGAAGGCGGAGCGGGAGTGTCTCAGGCTCGAGTGAATGAACGAACGAATGAATGAATGAATGAACGACTCTACCCCCCTGTGTAGATGTTGATTGGGGAGCAGAAGGCGGAGCGGGAGTGTCTCAGGCTCGAGTGAATGAACGAACGAATGAATGAATGAATGAACGACTCTACCCCCCTGTGTAGATGTTGATTGGGGAGCAGAAGGCGGAGCGGGAGTGTCTCAGGCTCGAGTGAATGAACGAACGAATGAATGAATGAATGAACGACTCTACCCCCCTGTGTAGATGTTGATTGGGGAGCAGAAGGCGGAGCGGGAGTGTCTCAGGCTCGAGTGAATGAACGAACGAATGAATGAATCAATGAACGACTCTACCCCCTGTGTAGATGTTGATTGGGGAGCAGAAGGCGGAGCGGGAGTGTCTCAGGCTCGAGTGAATGAACGAACGAATGAATGAATGAACGACTCTACCCCCTGTGTAGATGTTGATTGGGGAGCAGAAGGCGGAGCGGGAGTGTCTCAGGCTCGAGTGAATGAACGAACGAATGAATGAATGAATGAACGACTCTACCCCCCTGTGTAGATGTTGATTGGGGAGCAGAAGGCGGAGCGGGAGTGTCTCAGGCTCGAGTGAATGAACGAACGAATGAATGAATGAACGACTCTACCCCCCTGTGTAGATGTTAATTGGGGAGCAGAAGGCGGAGCGGGAGTGTCTCAGGCTCGAGTGCCCCTCCCAGACCGCGGGCCTCCCTCGCCGCCCGCTCTGCGCGTCCGATGGGCGAACCTTCGCCTCGCACTGCGACTTGCGGCGCGCGCGGTGCAAGGACCCCCTCCTCAGCGTGGCGCACCGGGGCCGGTGCAAGGGTGTGTACACACGTGTGTGTGTGTGTGTGTACGCACGTGTGTGTGTGTGTGTACACACGGAGCGCGCTAACGCTGCATTACAGCTCCCCACACACAAATACAGACGTGTGTACACACACACACACACGTGTGTGTGTGTACACACACACACGTGTGTGTGTGTGTACACACACGTGTGTGTGTGTGTACACACGTGTGTGTGTGTTTACGCACGTGTGTGTGTGTACACACGTGTGTGTGTGTGTGTACACACGTCTGTATTTGTGTGTGGGGAGCTGTAATGCAGCGTTAGCGCGCTCCGCTACGAACCCGACGACCCGGGTTCGATTCCCGCTCGCGGCCAACACCGGTGACAATTATCTGAACCGGTCCTGAGCCTCTCCTAGATCGACTCGGCCTCAAATGAGTACCTGGTGCGGTGTGTAAACATCGCCATTGGGGATACAAAGGCGACCCGGGCGTGGTGCTGGCCACCCACCCCCTCGTCGGTGCGACTCGCGAACAGCCCTTGCCCCAAGAGTCTGTTGAAGGCTACACGGGGGACCTTTGTCTTTTGTGGGTGTGTAGAGATGTCGCGGTGCCAGGCCGAGCGCTCGCACGCGCAGAAGCAGGCGAGGCGTGAGACCCGCGCCGTCTTCATCCCGGAGTGCAACGCGGACGGGAGCTACTCGCAGGCATGCGGCATCATCATCATCATCAGCAGCATCATCATCACAACCATCATCATGGTTAGCATGAATATAAGTATGATCATCACCATCATCATTAGCATAAATATCAGTATCACCATCACCACCATCATCATTAGCATAAATATCAGTATCATCATCACCATCATCATTAACATAAATATCAGTATCATCATCATCATCATAAGCATGAATATCAGTATGATCATTATCATCATTAGCATAAATATCAGGATCATCATCACCATCATCATCATTAGCATAAATATCAGGATCATCATCAGCAGTAGCAACAACATCATTATCAACAGCATCAGCAGCAGCATCAGCATCATCACCATTTGCGTCATCATAACCATCAATATCAATATCACCGGCAACAGCAACATCATTATCTACAGCATCATCAGCAGCAGCATCAGTAATAGCAGGATCATTAGCATCATCCTGATCAGTAGCAGCACCATCAATATCAGCATCATTATCAACAACATCATCATCATCATCACGGCCGTCATCATGCACATGATCATCATCAAGCCACGCACGTGGAGTGGATGTAAAAGGGTGGCTTTGGGTATCCATGCCCCCCTCCCCCTCCCCAGGCAGTGCCGTCCCTAGGGGCCCAAAGCAACTCACCCCAAACTGGAATGATTATGATCACGTACGACGCCGCGACGTGGAAGGGCGCCCCCCCCCCCCCCCCACAAAGCGCGGGGCCCCGGGCGTTCGCCCCGATTCCCCGTACCCTAGGGACGGCTCTGCCACCAGGACCCTTCACGCTGACCCTGACCTTGCAACCCCCCCCCCCCAGGTTCAGTGTCACAACAACCTGACTCACTACCCCCCCCACAGGTTCAGTGTCACAACAACCTGACTCACTACCCCCCCCCCAGGTTCAGTGTCACAACAACCTGACTCACTACCCCCCCCCAGGTTCAGTGTCACAACAACCTGACTCACTACCCCCCCCCCCCACAGGTTCAGTGTCACAACAACCTGACTCACTACCCCCCCCCCAGGTTCAGTGTCACAACAACCTGACTCACTACCCGCCCCCCCCAGGTTCAGTGTCACAACAACCTGACTCACTACCCCCCCCCCCCACAGGTTCAGTGTCACAACAACCTGACTCACTACCCCCGCCCCCCACAGGTTCAGTGTCACAACAACCTGACTCACTACCCCCCCCCCCCCAACAGGTTCAGTGTCACAACAACCTGACTCACTACCCCCCCCCGCCCCCCACAGGTTCAGTGTCACAACAACCTGACTCACTACCCCCCCCCGCCCCCCACAGGTTCAGTGTCACAACCTCACCCGCTACTGCTGGTGCGTGACCCCCCAGGGGCGCCCCATCAGCGGATCTTCCGTGGAGGCCAGCACCCCACAGTGCACGGGTGAGGGCGTGGGGGGGCACGGTGGGCATGGGGGGCATGGGGGGCATGGGAGGCATGGGGGGTATAAGGGGCATGGGGGGTACGGTGGGCATGGGAGGCAACAGATAAGCGGGTAATGGGGGCATAGGGTGCCATCGGGGTGTCTGGAGTCTTGGGTGCACGCAAGCATTGAGATATGGGGACATATCCGCCCGGGGTGGTATAGGGGTATAGAGGAATGGGGGTGTCGGGGTAGGGGGCCGTGGGGATACTGACTGGGGTGTGGGCTCACGGGGGGCACGGGGGACACGGGGGACACGGGGGACATGGTGGACACGGGGGACAATGGGGGACACGGGGGTTACGGGGTTCACAAGTGATATGGGACTCTCAGGGGACACGGGACTCACGGGGGCTCACGGGGGCTCACGGGGGCTCACGGGGGCTCACGGGGGCTCAAGGGGGCTCACGGGGGCTCACGGGGGCTCACGGGGATCGCGGCCGTGCTCTGTGCCCACAGGAGGACCCCCGCAGCGAATCCGGACCAACACTCACGGCAAGGCGAATGACAGTGAGCTCCATCATCATCAGCAGCAGTATCATCATCATCAGCATCATCATCATCATCAGCAGTATCATCATCATCATCAGCAGCAGGATAATCATCATCAGCAGCAGCAGCAGCAGAGCACCACAGAGTCTTGAGACTCTCTTGGCAGGCGGGTCCTGACAAGTTTTCGCCGTCGGGGCGTGACGATTGTTTGTTACGTAGATACCATTCGAGTCATTTAGAGCGGCGTTTTCTTTTTTAAATTTGGTTTAAAAAAAACTTGGAACCGTGATGCGCGGCGCACAAATGTCCCGCTGCTCTTGCGAACGATGCCACGGAATCGTTCGCGTCCGCTGTGAGTGAAGCGGATGGCGCGTGCATTAGTAGTAGGATTGTTTGCAGTTATAACGCAGTGTTAAACAGGGCGGCCGCTTGGATGCGAACCGTGAACCTCTGCAACAAAGCGGGAAATGCGCTACCGCTGGGCCATGTGACCTCCCATCACTACCATCACCACCATCATCATCTCGATTATCGTCTTCCCATTGGGCCGTAAGCTGGTTAGAAAATAGCTTTCCATTGTGTGTGTACGTATTATGTTGTTGATGATGATAGTGCAGACGATGGTGCTAATGATGGTGATAATGGTGGTGATGATGGTGCTGATAATGGTGGTGATGATAATGGTGATGATGATGATGGTGGTTATGATGATGGTGCTGATGATGATGGTGCTAATAATGATGGTGATGATGATGGTGCTAATGATAGTGGTGATGATGGTGCTGATGGTGGCTGTCACGCAGAATCGATCTTGGATCCACTCGTCCATGCGCCTCGGCTGTTGGAGTCTGGAGGTAAAGCGCTCGGGATGCCCGATTCAGAATGGCGCCTGAACTCCACACTCGAACGATTCCCCAGTCTGTGTAGGACACACGTGGAGAGCTTTGTGTGTGTGTGTACACGCGTGTGTGTGTACATACACACACACGCGTGTACTGTCTGTGTCAAGTAGTGTGTGTGTCTGTTTTGTGTGTCTCTGGCAGGTGTGTGGCAAGACGGTGATGGTGACATCACCAGGTAGGACCATAATCATCATCATCATCATCTTCTGTCAGTATTCTTCATTATCACCCGCCAATTTCTCATGAATGATCACCGAGATTCGCGGTTCCGATCGAGCGACCGCCCTGGATAATACTGCGCGTGTGTTAACCGTAAAAACACTGCTTCTCAGTGGACTCATGACGGCCCTGTGATGCAAATTTACATTTTAAATTGACTTGATTAACTTTGCCCCACTACTAACGGTACCGACGCTAACCTGTCGGCTTATACTGCATCACGTGTGCACGCAAAGAGACAAAGATCTCCCGTATAGCCTTAACAGACTGTAGGAGCAAGTGCTGTTAGCCCGCACCTATAACGGCCGACACGGCACACGAGGGGGTGGGTTGACAACACCACGCCCGGCCGCCTTTGTCTCACCTAATGGCGATGCTCATACATCACACCAGGTACTCATTTGAGGCTGAGTCGACCTAGGGGAGGCCCGAGACCAGTTCAGATAATCTTCACCGTTGTTGGCCGTGAGCGGGAATCGAACCCGGGTCGCCAGGTTCGTCGCGCTCACCGCCACACCACCGCTCCTCACGTGTGCACGCGCGCACACGCACGCGCACACACGTGTTACAGCACGCACGTGTTGTAACACGCGCGCGCGCGCACACACACGTGGTCAGTACGTCTTGAAAGAGGCGGGGGAGGCATTGGTAATGACTGTCATGTTGGGTGCGGGCGGTTCCTTGGTCCGGGAGAGGGTTATGCCGCGGTCTGCTGTAGGTGCGTTTCACTGGGTTACGTGCCGCCCCAGATTCGCGATAGTTGAGGGAGCGGGAGGCGTAGTGGTTAGCGCACCACGGCACTACGAACCCGGCGACCCAAGTTCGAATCCCGCTCGCGGCGACACATCGGTGGCGAACATCTAAACTGCTCCTGTGCTTCCCCTAGGTCTACTCGGCCTCAAATAGGTACATGTTGCCGTGTGTGTAAAAAAAAAAATCATCATTACTTGGGGAGATAAAGTCGGTCGGGCGTGGTGCCGTGTCGACCTTCATAGGTGCTACTCGCAAACGGCACTTGCCCCAACGGTCTCTTGAAGGCTACACGGGGGACCTTTGTGCTTTGTGCACCCAGGTATCCGGGCCGCGCTGGAACTGCGGAGGAGAGAAACAGGACAGGTACCACGCGAATACCCCCACCCCACCACCACCCCGCGCGCCACATCTCTGTCACGTGACTCAGCCCCCCCCCCTTCCACTATACCACTATACCTGCCCCCCCCTATACCCCCCGATCCCCCCACCCCCACTCTCTTCTCCCCACTCCGCGACTGCGATGCCGGCATTGCCGCCACCAAACATTTGACATTTTAACCACGAAGCGTGTGACTATTTGCAACGATTTAACGACCAATTTGTAGCGGCGTTCTTCTTGACACTGCTGCCCCCCCACCACCACCACCGTGCCCCCCCCAAACCCCCCCATAATCAGGTTCAGAGATTCGGGAGCCCACGCTGCTGAAGAGCAACATTGGGAAGAGATCGGGCCGCGTGGGAGTGCCCGTGAAGAGCACCGGTAAGTGAAAGGTTCCAGTCGGTTCCGTGTGACCAGGTAGGAACTCAAAAGAGTGGGATGCAGGCCGGGGGAGGGGGGTGGGGGAGAAGGTGGATGGGGGGGGTCAGAAAAATTGCAAAAGCAAAACAAATAAAAGTCGAGCGAATGATGTAAATATAAACATGGGCAATAACGACTGTTTGACACGAGACATACCAACATGTTTATGCGGACATAAATCGAACGTTGAAGAATACTTTCCCTTTTCTCCGCCGCGTCAGTCGACGCTGCCAGATTCTGTTCAGAGCGATTGTAGCACTATCATAATTGACATATTATTGAAGGTATGTGCGTGTGTGTGTGTGGGTACGTGTGTGTGTGAGTACGTGTGTGTGTGAGTACGTGTGAGTATGTGTGTGTGTGTGGGTACGTGTGTGTGAGTACGTGTGTGTGTGTGAGTACGTGTGTGTGTGTGTGTGTGGGTACGTGTGTGTGTGAGTACGTGTGTGTGTGAGTACGTGTGTGTGTGGGTACGTGTGTGTGTGTGGGTACGTGTGTGTGTGTGAGTACGTGTGTGTGTGAGTACGTGTGTGTGTGAGTACGTGTGTGTGTGGGTATGTGTGTGTGTGTGGGTACGTGTGTGTGTGTGTGGGTACGTGTGTGTGAGTACGTGTGTGTGTGAGTACGTGTGTGTGTGGGTATGTGTGTGTGTGTGGGTACGTGTGTGTGTGTGTGAGTACGTGTGTGTGTGAGTACGTGTGTGTGTGTGTACGTGTGTGTGTGTGAGTACGTGTGTGTGTGTGAGTACGTGTGAGTATGTGAGTACGTGTGTGTGTGTGAGTACGTGTGAGTATGTGAGTACGTGTGTGTGTGTGAGTACGTGTGTGTGAGTACGTGTGTGTGTGTGTGGGTACGTGTGTGTGTGTGGGTACGTGTGTGTGTGTGAGTACGTGTGTGTGTGAGTACGTGTGTGTGTGGGTACGTGTGTGTGTGAGTACGTGTGTGTGTGGGTATGTGTGTGTGGGTACGTGTGTGTGTGTGTGAGTACGTGTGTGTGTGGGTACGTGTGTGTGTGTGTACGTGTGTGTGTGAGTACGTGTGTGTGTGTGTACGTGTGTGTGTGTGAGTACGTGTGTGTGTGTGTGTGGGTACGTGTGTGTGAGTACGTGTGTGTGTGTGAGTACGTGTGTGTGAGTACGTGTGTGTGTGTGTGGGTACGTGTGTGTGAGTACGTGTGTGTGTGTGGGTACGTGTGTGTGAGTACGTGTGTGTGTGTGGGTACGTGTGTGTGAGTACGTGTGTGTGTGTGTGAGTACGTGTGTGTGAGTACGTGTGTGTGTGGTGTGTGAGTACGTGTGTGTGAGTACGTGTGTGTGTGTGAGTACGTGTGTGTGTGTGTGGGTACGTGTGTGTGTGTGTGGGTACGTGTGTGTGTGTGAGTACGTGTGTGTGTGAGTACGTGTGTGTGTGTGTGTGGGTACGTGTGTGTGTGTACGTGTGTGTGTGTGAGTACGTGTGTGTGTGTGTGAGTACGTGTGTGTGAGTATGTGTGTGTGAGTACGTGTGTGCATGGGGGTGGAGCTCGCTAACAGCACTTACTCCCGCAGTCTGTTAAGGCTATAGAGGGGATCTTCGTCTTCGTGGCTAGGTGTATGTATAGATGTTTGTATTTGACATGTGTAGGTGTTTTGTGTGTGTTGCGTGTCTGTTCATGTTAATATTTATTTGCCTTATTGTACGCGTTCATGCGTGTCACGCAACACACACACATCAACACACATCAACACACACATCAACACACATCAACACACACATCAACACACATCAACACACACACACACATCAACACACACACACACACATCAACACACACACACATCAACACACATCAACACATATATCAACACACATCAACACACACACATCAACACACACACATCAACAAACACACACACATCAACACACACACACATCAACAAACACACACACACATCAACACACACACATCAACACACATCAACACACACCGGCACAGACTCCGTTCTCAGTCACCCCCATCATCATCATCCTCATCAGCCACAGGATCAGCAGCAGCAGGGCGCCTCCTGCGAGCTGGAGCGAAAGACGGCCCTGGACCTGGCCCAGAAACGTCCCGGGGAGGATTCCTTCGTCCCCGAGTGTGGCGACGGAGGGCAGCTGTTCCTACCCGTGCAGTGCTACCTCTCCACTGGCTACTGCTGGTGCGTGTTTGTGGACTCGGGGAGACCCATCCCGGGCAGCTCCAAGCGGTGAGTAGACCACGGACTCGCAGCTCACCGCTGCGCCGCCGCTCCCCACTCGTGCAGCGCGCTAACCGCTGCGCCACCGCTCCCCACTCGCGCAACGCGCTAACCGCTGCGCCACCGCTCCCCTTCCTCGCAGGGACGAACCCCCGATCTGCGACGGCAACGCCCGCGTGCGCAACGAGGCCACAGACCCCTTCAGGGGGCGACCCATGCAGGGTGAGGACCCCTCCCACTCTACCCCCCCCCCCTTCATCCCCCGAATCCCTGAACCCGGGTGTCGGTGGTGGCGTGAATGGGGTACAGAGAGGGGGACCGGGGGGGTGTGGAGGGGGGGTGGAGGGGGGGGTGGAGGGGGGGATGTGGAGGGGGGGGTGGAGGGGGGGGTGGAGGGGGGGATGTGGAGGGGGGGTTGTGGATGGGGGGGATGTGGAGGGGGGGTGGAGGGGGGGATGTGGATGTGGAGGGGGGGTGTGGAGGGGGGGTGTGGAGGGGGGGGGGTGGAGGGGGGGTTCCACACTCGGTGGGGGGGGGGGGCGGAGTGGAAAGGGCGACGGTCGAGCGGAAGGCAGGAGGAGGGGGGGGGGTGCTGGAACAGAGGGCACGGGGAGGGGAGAGAGTGGGGGGGGGGTGACTGATCGAGGACGCCCGTGTGGTCGTGCCAACACGGCGGAGGCTTTGGGCTGTCGGGCATTATTTTTTGTCTTTCCCTTAGAACGCTCTCCCTCGCTCTCCCTCGCTCTCTCCACTCACCTCCCTTCGTCTAATCGTTCTCCCCTTTCGCCTCTCTCTTTCCCGCTCCGTCTCAGTGGCGCAGCGTGGTGGGCGTGGGCCCTGCTTCAAGGAATCACGCGCACCCCCCCCCCCCAGCACCTCCACCCCCTGTACAAAGATTCCGCCCCCACCCCACCGCCCTCGTAGCCCGAGGAGCCAGCGCAGTTGCACCGCCTGCACAAACTCGATAGCTGCTCCACTGCAGTCTCTCATTCCCTCGTCTCCTACCCTGGCCCCCGTCCTCCTGCCACCCTCTGAATCTCTCTCCTCCTCTCAATCGGCCAATCAACTCTGGATTTCCACAGCACTGTTTCGTGCAAAAAGATGCACTCCATCGCATCTCCCTCTCTCCTTCCCTCTCCTCTCTTAATCTCCCCACCCCCCTTATCTCCCCCCCCCCCTCAATTTTTCTACACCCCCCCCTCAACCCTCCCCCTCACCACCTAAGCCTCATCCCCCACCCCCACCTCACCACCCCCACTCACCACCCCCCCCCCGACCCTCGCCCTCTGTGCCTGTGAGTGCGATGAGTGAGTGTGATGTGAGTGTGATGTGAGTGAGTGTGATGTGAGTGTGATGTGAGTGAGTGTGATGTGAGTGAGTGTGATGTGAGTGTGATGTGAGTGTGATGTGAATGTGATGTGAGTGAGTGTGATGTGAGTGTGATGTGATCTGAGTGAGTGTGATGTGAGTGTGATGTGAGTGTGATGTGAGTGAGTGTGATGTGAGTGAGTGTGATGTGAGTGAGTGTGATGTGATGTGAGTGAGTGTGATGTGAGTGAGTGTGATGTGAGTGTGATGTGAGTGAGTGTGATGTGAGTGTGATGTGATCTGAGTGAGTGTGATGTGAGTGTGATGTGAGTGTGATGTGAGTGAGTGTGATGTGAGTGAGTGTGATGTGAGTGTGTGTGATGTGAGTGTGATGTGAGTGTGATGTGAGTGAGTGTGATGTGAGTGAGTGTGTGTGATGTGAGTGAGTGGGTGTGATGTGAGTGTGATGTGAGTGTGATGTGAGTGAGTGTGATGTGAGTGAGTGTGATGTGAGTGTGATGTGAGTGTGATGTGAATGTGATGTGAGTGAGTGTGATGTGAGTGTGATGTGATCTGAGTGAGTGTGATGTGAGTGTGATGTGAGTGTGATGTGAGTGAGTGTGATGTGAGTGAGTGTGATGTGAGTGAGTGTGATGTGATGTGAGTGAGTGTGATGTGAGTGAGTGTGATGTGAGTGTGATGTGAGTGAGTGTGATGTGAGTGTGATGTGATCTGAGTGAGTGTGATGTGAGTGTGATGTGAGTGTGATGTGAGTGAGTGTGATGTGAGTGAGTGTGATGTGAGTGTGTGTGATGTGAGTGTGATGTGAGTGTGATGTGAGTGAGTGTGATGTGAGTGAGTGTGTGTGATGTGAGTGAGTGGGTGTGATGTGAGTGTGATGTGAGTGTGATGTGAGTGAGTGTGATGTGAGTGAGTGTGATGTGAGTGTGATGTGATGTGAGTGTGATGTGATGTGAGTGTGATGTGAGTGAGTGTGATGTGAGTGTGAGTGAGTGTGAAGTGAGTGTGATGTGAGTGAGTGTGATGTGAGTGAGTGTGATGTGAGTGTGATGTGAGTGTGATGTGAGTGAGTGTGATGTGAGTGAGTGTGATGTGAGTGTGATGTGAGTGTGATGTGAGTGTGATGTGAGTGAGTGTGATGTGAGTGTGATGTGAGTGAGTGTGATGTGAGTGAGTGTGATGTGAGTGAGTGTGATGTGATGTGAGTGTGATGTGAGTGCGAGTGAGTGTGATGTGAGTGAGTGCGATGTGAGTGAGTGTGATGTGAGTGTGTGTGATGTGAGTGTGATGTGAGTGTGATGTGAGTGTGATGTGAGTGAGTGCGATGTCAGTGTGATGTGAGTGTGATGTGAGTGAGTGCGATGTGAGTGAGTGTGATGTGAGTGTGATGTGAGTGAGTGTGATGTGAGTGTGATGTGAGTGAGTGTGATGTGAGTGAGTGTGATGTGAGTGAGTGTGATGTGAGTGTGATGTGAGTGAGTGTGATGTGAGTGTGATGTGAGTGTGATGTGGGTGCGATGTGAGGAGTGTGATGTGAGTGTGATGTGAGTGAGTGTGATGTGAGTGTGATGTGAGTGTGATGTGAGTGTGATGTGAGTGAGTGAGTGCGATGTCAGTGTAATGTGAGTGTGATGTGAGTGAGTGCGATGTGAGTGAGTGTGATGTGAGTGTGATGTGAGTGAGTGTGATGTGAGTGTGATGTGAGTGTGATGTGAGTGAGTGTGATGTGAGTGAGTGTGATGTGAGTGTGATGTGAGTGAGTGTGATGTGAGTGTGATGTGAGTGTGATGTGGGTGCGATGTGAGGAGTGTGATGTGAGTGTGATGTGAGTGAGTGTGATGTGAGTGTGATGTGGGTGCGATGTGAGGAGTGTGATGTGAGTGAGCGTCGCATTCCTTGGCACAAACCCTGGGGTCTGCAGTGACACTGCAACTGACGGAGCTTAATTACACACGCACACAAACACGCGCACACAAACACGCGCACACACACATGCACACACACACATGCACACATGCATACAAACACACACGCACGCACACAAACACGCACACACACACATACACACACGCACACAAATACACACACACAAATACACACACACATGCACACACATGCATACAAACACACACATATACAAAGACAAAGATCCCCCATATAGCCTTAACAGACTGTAGGGGCAAGTGCTGTTAGCGAGCACCTATGAAGTCCTGAACGGCACACGAAGGGGTTTGGGTGGACGGCACCACGCCCGGCCGACTTTGTCTCCCCAGTGACGATGTTTACGCACCGTGCCAGGTACTCATTTGAGGCTGAGTCGACCTAGGGGAAGCCCAGGACAGGTTCAGATAATCGTCACCGGTATTGGCCGTGAGCGGGAATCGAACTTGGCTCGCTTCGCAGCACGCTAACCGCTCCACTACCGCTCACCACAACAAGAACAACACACGAACACACAAAGACAACACACACACACAGACACCACCACACCACGTACGCTCGGAGTGCACGTGAGCACATCACCATCGTCTCAACGTCATCATCGACATGATCACCACCATCATCATCATCACCACCATCACCTTTCAGCCCACAGTGATGTGACTTGAGGGGCCATCTCAAGTCTTTGTAGTCGTACAAGATAAGAAAGAGAAAGAGGAGACGTGTCTTCTCTTTACGATTTAGTTTATTTTTTTTTTAACCAGGTTGTCTGAGTTTTAGAGCTCTTTGTTTTTCAGAAGCGACCTGTCGGCACGCGTGACGCACGTGCGCTGAACTTCTTTAGCGCCGTCCGTAGCCAAACGCGCCAATCGGAATCGGAGTTGGGTGGGAAGGACAGCAAACTAAGATGATAGCAACAACCAAAGTGGCTTTTTTTTAATATATATCGTCCTCGTCGTCGTCGTGTGGAAATGTACAAACAGCAGCAGCGTCAGCAGCCGAGTACTCTAAAGCGCGCACGTCGCTACTGAATGTGAGAGGGAAAAACCGGAGGGCCCGCAGAACGATCCACCCTGGGCCCCCCCCTCTCCCCTGCCCCCCTCCCCTCTGCCCCCACCCCCATCCCTCCACCCCCACCCCCCGTGTTTATTTTTCTGTACGTTTTAGCAAAAACAAACACCGCGATCCGCGGAGACGACAGTCCATGACTTTCAACTCGACTCCTAAAAATAGGGGAGCGGTACCCCTCTGGAGAGGGGAGGGGGCACGGGGGGAGCGGGGTGGGGGGAGGATGAGGCGGTGAGCGGGTGAGTGGGGGGTGTGAGTGAGGGGTGAGTGAGGGGGTGAGTGGTGAGCGAGGGTGGTGAGCGAGGTCAGTGGATGACGGGGTTCGAGTGAGGGGGTGAGTGAGTGGATGAAGGTGGTGGAAGAGATGGGTGAGGTGGGTGAAGGCGTGAGGGGTGGGTGAAGCGGGTGACTGTTGGGGAGAGGATGAGCGAGAGAGGGTGAGATGGGTGAGGTGGGTGAGGTGGGTGAGGTGGGTGAGGGTGGTGAGGGTGGGTGAGGTGGGTGAGGGTGAGAGAGGGAGGGTGGGTGAGGGTGGTTGAGGTGGGTGAGGGTGGGTGAGGGGCGGTGAGGTGGGTGAGGTGGGTGAGGGTGGGTGAGGTGGGTGAGGGTGGGTGGATGAGGTGGGTGAGGGTGGGTGAGGGTGGGAGAGGGTGGGTGAGCTGGGTGAGGGTGGTTGAGGTGGGTGAGGTGGGTGAGGTGGGTGAGGGTGGGTGGGTGAGGTGGGTGAGGGTGGGTGAGGTGGTGGGTGAGGGTGGGTGAGGTGGTGGGTGAGGTGGGTGAGGGTGGGTGAGGTGGGTGAGGGTGGGTGAGGGTGGGTGAGGTGGGTGAGGGTGGTGAGGTGGTGGGTGAGGGTGGGTGAGGGTGGGTGAGGTGGGTGAGGGTGGGTGAGGTGGTGGGTGAGGGTGGGTGAGGTGGGTGAGGGTGGGTGAGGTGGGTGAGGTGGGTGAGGGTGGGTGAGGTGGGTGAGGTGGGTGAGGTGGATGAGGGTGGGTGAGGGTGGGTAAGGGTGGGTGAGGTGGTGGGTGAGAGTAGGTGAGGGTGGGTGAGGGTGGGTGAGGTGGGTGAGGGTGGGTGATGGTGGGTGAGATGGGTGAGGGTGGGTGAGGGTGGGTGAGGTGGATGAGGTGGGTGAGGTGGGTGAGGGTGGGTGAGGGTGGGTGAGGGTGGGTGAGGTGGTGGGTGAGGGTAGGTGAGGGTGGGTGAGGGTTGGTGAGGTGGGTGAGGGTGGGTGAGGGTGGGTGAGATGGGTGAGGGTGGGTGAGGGTGGGTGAGGTGGGTGAGGGTGGGTGAGGTGGGTGAGGGTGGGTGAGGTGGGTGAGGGTGGGTGGGTGAGGTGGGTGAGGGTGGGTGAGGTGGATGAGGTGGGTGAGGTGGGTGAGGGTGGGTGAGGTGGGTGAGGGTGGGTGGGTGAGGTGGGTGAGGTGGGTGAGGGTGGGAGAGGGTGGGTGAGGGTGGGTGAGGGTGGGTGAGGTGGGAGAGGGTGGGAGAGGGTGGGTGAGGGTGGGTGAGGGTGGGTGAGGTGGGTGAGGGTGGGTGAGGGTGGGTGAGATGGGTGAGGGTGGGTGAGGGTGGGTGAGGTGGGTGAGGATGGATGAGGTGGGTGAGGTGGGTGAGGGTAGGTGAGGGTGGGTGAGGGTAGGTGAGGGTGGGTGAGATGGGAGAGGGTGGGTGAGGGTGGGTGAGGGTAGGTGAGGGTGGGTGAGGTGGGAGAGGGTGGGTGAGGGTGGGTGAGGGTAGGTGAGGGTGGGTGAGGGTGGGTGAGGAGTGGAGTGAGGAATGAGTGAGTGATGGCATGATGGGTGGGTGAGTTTGTGAGGGGTTGAGGAGGTGATGCGGGTAGAATGTTGGTGTGTTGACCGAGATAGTTGGAGGAGGTAACGCCGTTGAGTGAGTGGAGCGGTGGCGCAGTGGTTAGCGTCACGCGCTACGAGCCTCTGTGACCTGAGATTGAATTTCGGCCACGGCCAACACCAGTGGCGAGTGATATCTGAAGCAATCCTACTCGTCCCCCCCCCCATCCCAGTTCACTAAGCCACACTGCCTAGCATGGTGAAGTATGGTCACACAACCCAGTCTAGGGAGGCCTTCATCCGGCAGTGGATTGAACATGGACTGTAAATGGTTGTTATTGTTAGTGTCATTATGTTCGAGCGAAAGGGGGGGGGGGGGAGGGAAGGGGGGTTGAGGGGATACGTTGAGGGGTCGCGATCTCGTCTTCTTATCTCTGGGACCCACTTTCACCCCAAAGGCGCTGGGACCCCCACGGGGAGGGGTGGGGGTTCCTGTCTCCTCCATCACCCCCACCTCATCTCCCCTTCATCATCTCTCCACTCTCCCCCCAGTCCATCTCCCCGACCCCTCGCTCATCTCCCCTTCATCATCTCTCCACTCTCCCCCCAGTCCATCTCCCCCACCCACTCGCTCATCTCCCCAAGAAAGACCAGGGCACGTACACAGCCCCCACACTCATTAAAGGCGCCATTAAGCCACTAAACTTTCAAACTTTGCTATTTATATAACAACAAAACTACCCGGTAAGTGACTTACGCCACACTCGCGAGACGGGCGAGACGTTCCGTTACCGACAAGTGGGCAGTAGCAGCAGCAGCAGCAGCGTTCTACCCCGGGTTCGATCCCTGACTGGGGTGGCCCCCCTCTCTGTGTGGACTGTGTAAGTTCTACCCCCACCCCCCTACTCACCACTCCCCCCCAGTTCCTCGTCTATTGGCCAACAAAGTTTCACTTCAATACAGAGCCTCGATGTTAACTACCTCGCCTGGTATACAGGAGGAGGTAAGTTCCATCCCCGACCCTGACGCCTGCTGCTGTATATTTGGAGTTTGCGGTGTTGCTCTCTCTCTCTGTCTGTGTCCCCGTGGTCGCGTGGATTTTTCTCCGGGTCCTCCGAGTTTTCCCCCTCCACATTTGGCAAACGACACCACGCGTCTCTGCGGAGTCGGCTCCTGTCTATTTCCACGTGACTATTATCCCACTTCGTTGGACTTATTATTTGTGATAGCCAGGGGGTCGCTTCTGACAAAGAGCCACGTAGCTCAGTTGGGCCTCACCTGGGAAAATAAAGCATAGATTACGTTTCAGTTGATAACAATAGTAATAATTAATTATAAAGGTTTTTGGGTAAGGGGCCGTCCATAAATGACGTCACGCACCTGGGGAGGGGGGGGGGGTCAGACATTTGTGACGATGTGTGACGAGGTGGGAGGGGGGTTTGAGAAATGTGACGTCACATCAAAATGCGCAACTTTAAATAAATATAGACAACACGTTCTACTTAATTAAATATACTTCATAATACATGTTTTCTCCTACAACATCAGAGTGCAGCGCCACATTAAATACGCACTACAATGACAATAGTTTAAAGCGATTTGAAGCATGTTTTATATATTTTGGGGGGGGAGGGCAGAGCTTTGTGACGTCATATTTGAGGGGGGGCCTGACTTTTTGTGACGCCGTGTGACGAAAGGGGGGGGGGGTAAAAAAACCGTCCAAAATCGCGTGACGTCATTTATGGACGGCCCCTTAGATCGCAATTTAAACTTACGCGATCTAACCCAAAAAAAAACCTTTATGAATATTGCTCGCGAAAGCCTACGTGTTCAACTGAATATGCACGACAATAACTAATGAGGTTTCCGATCCACGTGTCGCTAATCGTTCTTGGCGGAATTGCCAGCACACATCATCCGCATCGCTGCTTCGTGCATCTACGACCGTGCTGAGCAGCACTAAAGAGAGCGCCGCTCAATTTGTGACGATGACTCAAATCGTCTCTTAATCAGTCGGCTCATTAATTGACGATCGTGCCGCTGCGTTGGGCCGTGGCGCAGAAGGAGCATGACCAACACAACCATGCACACACTCAACACGTTGGCCAGCAAAAGTCTTAAAAGAGCGGGGGGGGCAGGGGGAAACATTATTTAATTGACGACGTTGAGAGCGACGTGACCTACTCTTTATTACGCGAAAGTCACGCGCGATGTGCTATGAACGAGGGCCATCGCCCGAACCGTCGCCTCGCTACGTTTGTTTTGCTTTGTGAGACCGCACTGTGGCCCCGTCCCAGGATGCCCCGCGCCCAAGAGGGCGGAATTCATCACCAGCGTGCTGGACGCCCTCACCACCGACATGGTGAGCGCCATCAACTCCAGCCGCGGGTCCAGGTGAGCTCACCGCCACCATGACGTCATCGCTGGCACGTCAACGCCGTTGCATCATCGCCGTGAAATCATCACCGCCACATCATCAACATCATCGCCACATCATCACCGTCGCATCATCACCTGCAGGCGAACACCACCAACGCCAGCCGTGGCACAGGGAAAACACCATCGCTTTCACCATCACCTCCACGTGACCACCATCACCTCCACGTAACCACCATCACCTCCACGTGACCACCATCACCTCCACGTGACCACCATCACCTCCACGACAGTCTCTGACCCCCTCCCCCACGTCCCACGGGGATGATGGAGACTCAGGAATGAGGCTCCGCGTGTCGCGGGCGGAAGGAAGCGCAGCTCCCCCCCCCCCCCCCCCCATGGGGTTCGGGGGGTCTCAGGACCGGCGAGGAGGGGATGGGTCGATGGGGGGGGGGGCGTTAAAGGGGGTTCTGGGGACAGGGGTAGACGGGTCACGGTTGGGGAGGGGGGGGCTTAAGGGGGATGGGAGACGTGGGCGAGGGGACTGTGGAATGGTGACACAGACGCGCACAACAAAGACACGCACAGACACAGACAAAGGTCCCCCGTATAGCCTGGACAGACTGTAGGGGCAAGTGCTGTTGGCGAGCAGCACCTATGAAGGCCTGAACGGCACACCAAGGGGTTTGGGTGGCCAGCAACCACGCCCGACCGCCTTTGTCTTCCCCCAGTGGCGATGTTTACACACCGCACCAGGTACTCATTCGAGGCTGAGTCGACCTAGGGGAGGGCGCAGGACCGGTTCAGATAATCGTCACCGGTGTTGGCCGTGAGCGGGAATCGAACTCGGGTCGTAGAGCAGGGCGCTGACCACGACACTACCGCTCCAAATACAAAGATCCCCCGTATAGCGTTAACAAGCTCTTAGGGCAAGTGCTGTTAGCGAGTACGCCGCGATACACACACATACTCACTCTGGTGCTAACACACACACACTCACTGGTGCTAACACACACTCACTCACTCTGGTGCTAACACACACTCACTCTGGTGCTAACACACACATACACTGATGCTAAGACACACACACTCACTCTGGTGCTAACACACGCACTCACTCTGGTGCTAACACACACACACTCACTCTGGTGCTAACACACACACACTCACTCTGGTGCTAACACACACACTCTGGTGCTAACACACACTGGTGCTAAGACACACACTCATTCTGGTGCTAACACACACTCTGGTGCTAATACACACACACTCACTCTGGTGCTGACACACACTCACTCTGGTGCTAACACACTCACTCTGGTGCTAACACACACTCACTCTGGTGCTGACACACACTCACTCTGGTGCTAACACACTCACTCTGGTGCTAACACACACTCACTCTGGTGCTAACACACACACACTCTGGTGCTAACACACACACTCTGGTGCTAACACACGCACTCACTCTGGTGCAAACACACACACTCACTCTGGTGCTAACACACACACACTCTAGTGCTAACACACACATACACTGGCGCTAACACACACATACACTGGCGCTAACACACACACTCACTCTGGTGCAAACACACACACTCACTCTGGTGCTAACACACACACAATCTAGTGCTAACACACACATACACTGGCGCTAACACACACACTCACTCTGGTGCAAACACACACACTCACTCTGGTGCTAACACACACACACTCTAGTGCTAACACACACATACACTGATGCTAAGACACACACTCTGGTGCTAACACACACACACTCTGGTGCTAACACACACACTCTAGTGCTAACACACACGTACACTGATGCTAAGACACACACTCACTCTGGCGCTAAGACACAAACACACGTATTCAGTTCCATTTTTCAGTTTTCAGTTTCATTTATTTGGTATAGCCCTGTGAGCCATTCGGCTCTTGAATCGGGTGCAACCGCAACAAACAAAAACATGAACAAGAAAACATCTTAAAGTGACTATGTGACTGGCGCTAAGACACACTCACACTCACTCTGGCACTAAGACACACTCTGGCACTAAGACACACTCACACTCACTCTGGCACTAAGACTCACTCACACTCACTCTGGCACTAAGACACACTCACACTCACTCTGGCACTAAGACACACTCACACACGCTAACACACACACTCACTCTGGCACTAAGACACACACACACACTCACTCTGGCACTAACACACACTCACTCTGGCACTAAGACACACACACACTCTGGCACTAAGACACACTCACACACGCTAACACACACACTCACTCTGGCACTAAGACACACACACACACTCACTCTGGCACTAAGACACACACACACGCGCTAAGACGCACGCGCAATCTTCGCCGTGCGCAGGAGGAAAGCCCGCGAAGGGACGTGCGCGAGCGACGCTTGAGCGTCTGTGTATTTATTCACGGACGTCTCAGCGCCCACCCCCGTCTGTTGATGTTAGGCGCATCCTGAGTCCGAACGTGGACTCCTCGCACAACTCCAAAGCGACCGACCGACCCAACAACAACAAAACAACCACGCAACAACAACAAAAATGCCGCCGCATTTATCCGCCACGGACATTGGCAGAGCGCGCAAACAGACCCTCCGCTGAGCACGGTTGGCTGACGTACGGTGCAGAAGAAGTTCGGCGTGCGTACAAAGGAGCGCAGACAATCTTTTGGTTCTTTCGGTAAAGTCACGTAGTTAGAAATGAAATCACGTCAGGCCTGATGACGACCGCTTGTGATGCGATCGAAACGTCGTGATTTGTGTGATTTAATTTCTAACTTCGTGACTTTACCGAAAGAGCCAAAGAGAGTGGATTCCTGCAGTCACAAAAGCTTCAAATCAAGCGCAAGATCGTTTCACACGTGGGCCTTCGCGACCAATGTCGTCTGCAATATAGGCTTTGGTTGGGTCAGAGCGCGTCAATGTACACACGTGTCGTGAAACCCGCCACCACCCGACAAAGCACACGTAGATCGAGAGAGGAAGAGAGAGAGAGAGAGGGAGAGAGACTTTAACTTTAAAACAACTTTTATTGCCGCCAGCAGCAATAACACTGGAGGCGATTCCGATATGAAATTCACAAAGTCACCAGCAACACAAATAATCGCTATAAATCCACGCGCTGTGGCGCTAAATGCATCGCGCGCACAGCACGAAAGAAAAGTCACGTGGTGGTGGTGGTGGTTATCGCGCACGCCACGGTGACGAGCGAGCGCTTCAGAAGGTGAACACGAGGAGGGTGCCGTCCACGCTTGTACAGAGAGACTTTAATAAAAAAAACACTTTTATTGCCGCCAGAGAGCTCGAGATGCGGTGATTGTAACCCCACGGAGACGCGGGACGTGATGAGGCAAAGGGGGGGGGGGGGGAGCACGTGGGTTAGAGAAGAGATGCAGGTCCCTCGCTACCGCGCTCAACTTCTTTCGCGCCGTATGTAGTAGCCACCGGCGCAAATCGGAGGCGCTACGCGCGGGGCCAAGGCTAGCGAACTGAACACAGAAAGCAGCTCTCGAGAGACGCGTTTACAGCACCCCTAGGCGATTTCAGGGCGGCATCGCTCCCAGCGGCAGCGTGAACGTGGCACGGAAGGGGCAGCTCCAGACGGCCGCATCCGACAGCGCACCGGGGTGGCCACGATGCCTATCGCACCCCCACCACCACCACCACCACCGCCGCAACATCTCTCCACCCCACCACCCCCTCTTCCCCTACCACCGAAGGGTCCCGGAGCCGAACCCCCGCCACACGCTGGAGGAGCGCGTGGTCCGCTGGCACTTCTCCCGCGTCGACCGCGACCGCGACGGCGCCGTGAGCCCCGGGGAGGCGCGCGCCCTGCGGCGCCTCCTGCGGCGCAGGGCGGCCGCCCCGCGCCGCTGCGCGCGCCGCTTCCTCGACTTCTGCGACCTGAGCGGCGACCGGGAGCTGTCCCTGGCCGAGCTCACGGGCTGCCTCGGCATCGCCACCTCCGCCGCCACCTCCACCTCCTCCTCCTCCTCTGTATTATTCTTATCATCGTCGTCAGCGTCGTCAGCAGCAGCAGCGGCGGCGTCGTCATCGACGGGGAGTTCTGCGCACAACGGTGAGGACTGTTGTGCTGCTGCTGCTGCTGTGTGTTGCTGTTGTGTGTTGCTGTGTGCTACTGCTGTGTGCTGCTGCTGCTGCTGTGTGTTGCTGTGTGCTGCTGTTGTGTGTTGCTGTGTGCTGCTGCTGCTGTGTGTTGCTGCTGTGTGCTGTTGTTGTGTGCTGCTGCTGTGTGCTACTGCTGTGTGCTGCTGTGTGCTGCTGTTGTGTGCTGCTGTGTGCTTCTGTGTGCTACTGCTGTGTGCTGCTGTGTGCTGCTGTTGTGTGCTGCTGCTGTGTACTGCTGCCATGTGCTGTTGCTATGTACTACTGCTGTGTGTTGCTGCTGTGTGCTGTTGCTATATGCTACTGCTGTGTGCTACTGCTGTGTGCTGTTGTTGTGTGCTACTGTGTGCTGTTGCAGTGTGCTGCTGCTGTGTCCTGCTGCCGTCTGCTACTGTGTGCTGCTGTGTGCTACTGCTGTGTGTTGCTGTGTGCTGCTGTGTGCTGTTGCAGTGTGCTGCTGCCGTGTGCTGCCGTGTGCTGCTGTGTGCTGCTGTGTGCTGTTGCAGTGTGCTGCTGTGTGCTGCTGCTGTGTGGAAAAGTCCACCTGTTTCGTTCCTTAAATATAGGCGTAGATGTGATGACAACATTTGTGCGCCTGATGAAGCTAGTTGTAATTACTGGCGAAACGTCGAACTCAGATTGTAAATGTTGTAGCTTGTCTCTCCAACACACCGGTGTGCTGTACCCGCGACGAATTGGACACGTTCTGCTTACGTGACAAACCTTACTGGTGGTGGCGGGTTTAACATTTATATATTTACGCGATCAGACCCAAAACAAACCTCTATTGTGGATGGCATTGGTCCCGAAAGCCTACTGCGTGTTAAACATGAATGTATGTACGTACGTTGAACTTCTTTCGCACCGTACATAGCCACACCGTGCTAATCGGAGGTGCGGGGGAAGGACAGCAAACTAAACGCGGCAAAGCCGTTCTAAAGAAATGGAATAAAATAAAATAATATCCAGCAGTGGAACTGCTGAGGACGACCGCTTGTGTTGCGATCGAAACGTCGTGATTTATTATTTTTTTATTGTATTATTTCTACCTACCACGTGACTTTACCGAAAGAACCAAAGAGTATGGATTCCTGCAGTCACGAAAGCTTCGAATCACGACTAACGAGATGGGTTTGTCGATCTAGATTTAAAGATGCATCACTCTGGTGGCTTCTTCATATCAGAAGCTTGCTATACGCTGGGTCACCAAGACAATCAGACAACAACAGTAACAGCCACGGCTACATTGAAAACTCTTAGCTTTTAGAGCTGCTTTTTTTTTCGTTACGTTGTCCTTCCCCCGCACCTCCGATGAGCACGGTTGGCTACGCACGGTGCGAAATAAGTTCACCACACACACACACACAATGATCGTCACAATGCAGGAGTTGGTGTACAGCGATCTGATTGATTGACGTGGAGGGTTTTTGTTTTTCAATCCGTGACGCTCTGCAGGGAGACTCAAGACCCCAATCAAACGACATGGACCCAACCCCCTCGGTGAGAAACCACGTGAGCGGTCACTACAGAGACAAAGATCCCCCGTATAGCCTGCAAACAGACTGTTGGGGCAAGTGCTGTTGGTGAGCACCTATGAAGGGGGTGGGTGGCCAGCACCACGCCCGGACGCCTTTGTCTCCCGAGTGGCGATGTTTACACACCGCACCAGGTACTAACTTGAGGCCGAGTCGACCTAGGGGAGGCCCAGGACCGGGTCAGATAATCGTCACCTGGTATTGGTGGCCGTGAGTGGGAATCGAACTCGGGTCGCCGGGGTTCACAGCGTCACTGCCCGCACACACACACATGCAGAGTACACAAAGATCCCCCGTATATACAAAGAGCCCCCGTATAGCCTTTGAGCAGACTGTTTGGGGCAAGTGCTGTTTGCGAATGGCGTCCATGAAGAGGGGCGGTGGGGGCGGTGGCGAGTGGCCAGCCACTGCTAACGTCGCGTTTCGCTCTGCTCTACGTTGCAGCGAGCTTTCTGGTGTGAGGCCGAAGAGGTGGAGAGTTCATCGAAATTCCGGGAGGACGAGGAAGGGAGGGAGGGAGGGAGGAGGTCACGAGGTCAAGGGGTCAAGATCGCCAGCTCCTCGTCGCACCCTGGCTCAGAGCCTGCCCTGCTGCTCATAAACGTCGTCCGGCGTCGTGCGGCGTCGCCTGGGACTCCTCGCTCGGTCGATCGCGAGACTCGAGTCTCCAAACCTAAACTTAAAACGATAAAAAAACTTTTTTTGATTTCACCAGGTAAGGCCCCCCACTGAGCTCCTGTATGGCTCTTTTTCAGAAGCGACCTGGCGGCCACAAATGATAGCCCAACGAAGTGGCTCGTCACCTGGAAATGGTATAGCAGCCAAATACTCGAAAAGCACGTCGATTATAAATGTGGAGGGAACAGAAACCGGAGGACCCGGAGAAAAATTCACGCGCGCATGGAGAGAGAGAGAGAGACACGCGAAATCCAAAATATACAGCGGGCGCAAAGGTCGGGATCGAACCGACTACCTCCTGTACACCAGGCGCAGAGGTTAACATCTCCTAGCCACCGTTGGCGTGAGGGACCGTGGGTCAGGACGAATGTTTGGAGGTTTAACGACAGATCCGACTGCTCCTCCATCATGGCCAATAGGGGTGGGGCGGTCCATTATTTTCATCGCAGGTGATTTACCGTCATCATCATCACCACCACCATCATCCTAACCATCATTAGCAACCGTGATCGCTCCACTGCTGGATGGAGGCATCCGTCAAGTTGTTGTCAACGAATTTAAGGATTTCTTATTTTTTTTAAATGACTATGCTGTGAATGAAAAACTCAACACACTCGTTAGCAACACTGCCTTAAAAACACATATATATAATAGGCGACGTTTCAGGTAATGGCCCTTCATAGCACATAAACAGAAGTCGGAGAGATGGAGGGGATAATAAGGGTTGGAGACTACTTAACACCATGGGGCCTATATATTCTTGGTTCTTTCGGTAAAGTCACATAGAAGGGAAACATTTTTATTATTTTATTGTTTCCCTTCTACGTGACTTTACCGAAAGAACCAAGAATATGAATCCCTGCAGTCACGAAAGCTTTAAATTAAAAAAAATTACCATGGGGCCTGATAACATTTACATTTTTAAATGTTTGATAACGAGCAGCTTTTAAACGGGCGTGTGAATAGTACCAAGACACATCCTTCAATAATCACAAAGTATTGCTATATAAACTCATTTATATTAAAAGTAAAAAAAAACATACTCAAATGTTTGTCGGCACATTGCATTGTGGGAAAGTTTGTTCTTGTCGTCGAGGGCGACCAACGCTGTGAATGGTAGCGGCATCGAGCGAATTAATTACGGCGCCTGCACACACACACACAGATGATACAAATGAATGAAAAAAAACCACGTACTTTGATCTTTATACACGCGATGCGACGCACGTGTCTATGAGCATATGAATGCCTTGTAATAAATTAATATATCATTACACACATGGGTCAACTCCCCTCTCATGTCTGACACTAGGAGCTTAATAAGTTTCGTAATTAGAAGGTGGGGGGGGGGGGGACCTTTTAATGTGACTTGCAGGACATTGTTTAAAGTGTCACCACTTCGATTGAAAATGTAGTTTAGTCAAGTAAACGTTGGGGATGCTTTTTATATATAGGGCGATCGATGGTTATATCTGCTATGATTATGAATTTCCCCTGTGGCTGCATCACTTGCTGGTGTGACACAGCCCAGCGTTCCCTGGGTCGGGTGACCCGAGGAAAGATAACTGATTGGCCAGTGTGGGCGGGGGGGGGGGATATAAATTGAGGATTGTGAAACCGGAAGTGATTGTAGACAAAAATAAAGTTGCGACAAACTAGGCCATGGCTAAGAGCTGAATGATCCCGAAACGCCTCTGCCCGAGTTTGTATGCAGAAGTGCTCCATCGCAGGCGAGGTCAGTCCTGAGCTTGCCCCACGATCTGTCCACTGCACATTTCGTCATTTGGTGTTTCCACTTTCCTCTGTCTTGTGCCAATATGTTCAAGTCGTGGCCTCATCCCTCTGGCACCGATCTCTGTTGTGATGTCGTCGCCGTCGTTAAGCCGTTCTCTGTTGGGTCTTCCTCTCTTTCCGGTTCCTTCCATTTTTCCAAAACAACAACGCGCTTAAAATGTTCCTGTTGTCCATCCTACATACGTATCCAAACAGTGCCAGTTTCCTTCTCGCCACTGCCTGCATCACCACGTCTTCTTCTATGCGCAACCTGTTTCTTACTCCCTTCGATGCGCGTTCTACGCGCACGAACAGTCCTTAAATTGACGCCGCTTGCCATCGTTCTGCCTCCCGAATGCACCGCCAGACGACCTCCGCTCGTTCCATCGGTGCCTGCGCTCTCCCCTGTTGCCGAGTAGCGGCTGGGACTCGTCCTGCTGGTCCCCCGTCACCTGCATTCTTGACTCGATCCCATCGGTCAAGTCAGTCCCTGCTTCAACGTCTTCCTCTTTTCTGCCCATGACCGCCGTCGCTCGTCACAAGCGCCCATCATCACCATCACCAGCAGCGGCAACATCTAGCGATGGCCGCTTGCCTCCCCGTGCAATGTATTTTCAGCCGTTCCTCACCCAAGACGAGCCCTCGTCCGTTGCATTGCATTTATATGTAGATCTCGGGCAATTGTTGGTAGCACCGGTTCATGCTGCCTTCCCCGCTCGTCTGTGGTTCATTCTTCGTGCCTCTTGAGTCGTCGTCTACGAGAGCGAGGAGAGAATATTGCGTGGCGGAAACGGCGCATATTTACAAGTTGACGTCTTCATTCATGCCCTCTTTTCCACTGGCACATCCGTACCGAGCCAGCGGTGGGCCTGCCCAGTACGGGTGGTTTTTCTACTGGTACACCCGTGCCGAGCCAGCGCTGACCAAGCACGGTATGGGTATTTTCCGCTGGTGCGTGCCGAGCCGGAGCCAACCCATGCCTTGAAAAGTTGGAGGCTCCATCTGTCAAATTAATTTGATTCAAAATTGCCACGTTTCGTATCAATCAAGCAAGCTTGCCGTTTTGATGACATTTTATGACGTTCTTACGTGAGATAGGAAATGTTCCCGGAAAATATTTTCTTGTGGGAAAAATACATTTCGCTTCACGTTCTTTCACTTGAAAGTCGCATTTTCCAGGAACGCAAACCCAACGTTAAGCGAGAAATGACTTCAGTTGTATTTGTAGCGGCCTCTAGCGGCGTGCTGTGCTGTGGTGCACGTGACTGTAACCGTCTGTGATTGTGATGGAATCGGTCATCCCGTGTGGCTCATCTTCTGTGTCTGGATGCAGTTCGTCCCCTCCTGTAGCTTTTAGTTCCGACTGAACAAAAACGTAACCACTCGTCGCATTTATTAAGCGTCCAAAGTGCATTTAGTATTCAACAAAATATAAAGGACGTGTAATAATTTGTATTATTATAATTGTAATTCGTTTAACCGGTTCGCAAGTATGATGCGGATTTTTTGGAGGGACAATGCACAATTCCGCTAGAAGGTTGAGTGGCGGTTGCTCTGGCAGGTTTCCTGGCGTTATTAAAGCTGGCCACCTGCGTTCGATTCCCGGCCACGGCTGACATCAGTGGCACTGGCCAGCATGGTGGAGTTGTGGCCAACCGATCTCCCAGACCAACATGGCGTGGGGAAGCCTTCATCCAGAGGTGGATTAACACATCGCCATGCATTCGTATTGTTCAACGTGTTTCACCCGTTCTGTCGATGTTTCAAACGACTCTCATTGCTAAGCAAACGTCACTTATCTAGCAACAACAACAACAAAAAAACAAATAAAATTGGAAGCCGAGAATTGATGTCGCAAAGTCCTTACTTCCCGTTCTGTTCGCTACATCCACCACTCAACATTGCCCACATGTCCCCCCCCCCCCCACACACACACACACACGCGTGCACCCTAAAAACATGCCAATGTTGTGTGAACGTTGACACAACGTTGGGTCAACGTTGTATCAACGTTGGAAAGCGTCGGCTCAACGTTGCTCCGACCGTTGGCACGGCCACTGCGCACTCCTGTCACGCATTCATGAATTCGAATCGTATCGCAATGCTCGTTCTTGATTTCTTTGCTGTGTCCGACATAAGACGCTCGTTTAAAATGCGGTACGTGACAGAGTAGAATGATTTGGATGTCGAGGGGGGAGAGTGCGAGGATTGAGGAACGAGTGACAGCGATAGAGGGGTGCTGAGGGGGGTCACGGAAGGGTAGGGGAGGGACGGGAAGGAGCGGAGGGGCGAGGGGAGCGGATAGCAAGAAAACGGGACAGTAGAGAAGAAGTGAGTTTTTAAGTGCCAAATCAATTCTTACCCGAACCCTAACCAACTAGGAAATCTTCAATTAGTAAGACCGACTGAGATATATATATTTTAAAAAAATGTTTTTCTGGCCACATGAGCTATCATCATTTGTGGTCAGGTCGCTTGGAGGGGAAAAATTGGAGGACCGTGAGAAAAAAATCCACACGACCACGCGGAGAACACGCAAACTCCAAATATACAGGCGTCGTCAGGGTCGGGATCGAACCCACGACCTTTTGCACACCAGATGAGGTAGTTAACATCTCGTGCCGACGACACCACAATCAACTGCCCAGCTCTACCCATAACTCACCAGGCACGAATGCTCGGCATCCTCAGGCGGCTGTCAACACCAAGAGGTGTGGACAACTGCGCACTGCTCCAAGTGTACATTTTGAAGGCGGTGAGTGTGTGAGCGCGATGGGGAGCGGTGGTGCAGCGGTTAGCGCGCTGCATTGCGAACCCCAGGACCTGAGTTCCATTCCCGCTCACGGCCAACACCGGTGACGATTATATGAACCGGTCCGGGGGCCTCCCTTAGGTCGACTCAGCCTCAAATGAATACCTTGTGCGGTGTGTAAACATCGCCACTAGGGAGACAAAGCCGGTCGGGCGTGGTACTGGCCACTCCCCGCCCCCTCCCCCCGTGTGCTGTGCCGGCCTTCATAGCTGCTCGCTAACAGCACTTGCCCCTGCAGTCTGTTGAAGCTACACGGGGGATATTTGTCGTGTATTTGTCCTGTGGGTGTGTGAGTGAGTGGGTGGGTGTGTGTGTGAGTGTGTGAGTGAGTGAGCGAGCGGGTGATCGAGTGAGTGGGTGAGTAGGTGGGTGAATCTGCATTTCATCAACTCTGAGACGATTGAAACGGAATGGCTGAATGACTGCGGCGGCGACCCTCTGATGAGTCAGTAGACCTTCGAGGACGATGCGTGACTATCACCACCACCACCATCATCATCATTGCTCGCGACAGCTCTCTACCCCCCCCCCCTT